CCGCCCGGTCCGTGGGGCTCACACAGAACTTCCTGAGGTTTGACACAGTCCGGCAGAGGCTCAGAGGATTGCGAGGGCCTCCTGGCAGAGGACCCAGCCCAGCAGAAGACTTGAAAACCAGCCCCCTTACTGGTCAGATCACAGCACGGCCAAGTGAGCAAAGGCAGTGTGCCCAGCGGACACACGATCAGATGCTGTGTGTTCTGTCCTGTATGATTCCTGTCCCTTTGAAATATAACCTGCTGAGTGTGAGTTAGGGGGAGAGCTCCCCACGGGGAGAAGTCTGCTCCTCCCTCACCCACACCTTAAAGAGTCTCACTGGACATGATCAGTCCTCGATTAAACCTTTTCATGGCTTAAACAGTGACAAAATCCTTTTGGTTTCTCTCACTAACTGGTGAAGCTAAAAGAGTGAGGTTAATCTATAATCAGAGTTTTTCCTGAGTGTTCCCTACATGTTTTTCATGTTTTCTAATTCGCAGTTACCTTTGATTAAAATAATATCTGCTTTGTGATGCTGCCACCCTAGTAGTAAAATCAAGTAATAGAAGCAGCTATTCCTGCATGAATGGAGGGAGGTGGTCTGTGTCTCCACCAGGACTTCTGGGCAAATACCAGTGGGGGCCTCCTTCCTTCTTCCCTCACAGAGCAGACTGTGGTTCCGTGTTCTCAAAATTCTCAGCTAAAACCAGAGTTAAGACTTGAAGGCGTGCAGTTTAAACAAAAATTTTACTTACTTTAAGCCAATTTTTAAAAATAGGCAAACAGCCTTTCTGTTTGAAGTGCTTAATTTTCAACATCTGACTTCTTTGATTCGTAGTCTGAAAATTCCTTTAAAAGAATGCTGTGGGGACTTCCCTGCTGGCCCAGTGGCTAAGAATCTGTCTTGCAATGCAGGGCACATGAGTTTGATCCCTGGTTGGGGAACTAAGATCCCACAAGCCTCTCTGCACAACCAAAAAGAAAGGAATGCTGTAAATTTGAACATTTTGAAATTGGGCAGGGGGTGGGGTTGGGGGACACATTTCTTATTAAAATCCTCTAAAATGATCTCTCCAAAAAAAAGTTACCAAATTTTAGTTTAAAAAGTTAAACCCCTGCTTTCATAATCCCTGTAGAACTGTCAGGTCTTTGTTGGGGCAATTCTCCCTCTGCCTTGTTAGACTGTTTGTGCTTTCAATATCCATCAAACAAAGTTAAAGGTGAGGCTTTTTTATTTTTGACTTTTCTGTTGTCTCTGACTCAGTAAACTCTTCTCAGAGAAAGAACTCTTGGAGGAAAAGGAGTTATTTCTTTTCTCCAAATACTGCATCTTCTTGCCCCTCCAAATGTTAACTCTTGCTGGGTGTTCTGTCCATCCCCGTTGGGCAGGAGCGCAGGTTTGGCCTCGAGCAGACACACCCAGGGGAGCTGGGTGAGGCTCCTTAGTGCTGGGGGCAGTGGGGGGGCGGGTGGCTTTGAAAAGCCTCACACAACAATTGCGTGTTTATATCAAGCAGGTGATTCTTAGACTTATACCTTTTACCTTAACAGATAGCATCTCTTGCATTTTCTTTCTTACCTCTCACTTTTCCCTTCATTTCTTTTTTCTGTTGGTTTACTTTTGTGGTTATTTGGGAAGCTCAGAAGCGTCAGGAGAAAAAAAACCCAGTGACTGAAAATCCTGTGAATCAGCTTGATTTCTGTTGTTAAGTCCCAGAGCTGCTTAGAAATGACAGAAAAGGACAGGGGTGCAAATGAGGTCAGGATTCAAATCACTGAGCCTCAGGGCCTTGCCCTTTATTATCTTTGCTTCCTCTGTTGTATCCTAACAGCTGTTATTTGAGGTGAAAGTGAAAGTCACTCAGCCATGTCTGACTCTGCGACCCCATGGACTATGCCATACAGTCCACGGGATTCTCCAGGCCAGAATACTGGAGTGGGTAGCCTTTACCTTCTCCAGAATCTTCCCAACCCAGGGATCAAACCCAGGTCTCCCGCATTGCAGGCGGATTCTTTACCAACTGAGCCACCAGGGAAGCCCCGTTTGAGGTGAAAGCAACTTCATTCCCTCTGTGTCCGTGTGCCCAGCGTGGGCTGCGCTTTCATTCAGCGTCTGTTGCCCTGATGCTGATGAGGATGCGTACACAAGGCTCCCATGTTGAGTTTTGCTGACGTAGAAAATATGCATTCCGTGCCCAGGCTGGCCTGTCTTTCCAGCGGGCCCGTTGCTGAGAGCCCATTGATGGGGGGCTGTGTGTCTTTCCTGTGTTGGCAGGTGAGGGGCTAATTAATCAACACACCTGGATTTGGGCTTCGTCCCGGGGTCAGGGTTGCAGAGGCTTCACTGCAGTATTAGAGGCAAAAGACCTGTTAAGTTTCTCTCATTCCCTCTTTGTGTGGAATTGAACCAGGGCAGCTGCGACCTGAAACAGACCGGAAAAAAGCCTGGGGTTCACCGACTGACTGATCCGGCCCCGGGGAGACTTTGAGCACTTTACTCTGCATCTGCCAGGCTCAGGGGTCAGGCTGGCGCCTTCAGTTGCGAGCGGTGCTGTGGGCACCCAGGCCAGGTCCAGGTGTGCCCCTGGCTTTGGGGACCCTGGAGCCCCCCCACACCCTCACAGGCTCCCCTCTTGCCCGGGCAGGCCCTTTGTGACCTCAGGCACCTGTGCTGTCTTCTTTGGGGACTCACTGTACATGAGCAGCGGAGAACCAGAGGGAGGTTCTCCCCACGGTGGGGAGGGAAGTGATTGCCGTGGGGGGCCTGCGGAAAGGCGGTGATTGGTTTGAAATAGGCAGGGTGGAGGTTGGCTGTTCTCAGAGGTCTTTGCAGAAACTCCACTGTGGTTGATGTTCTGCCAAGAACAAGCAGAACAAAGCACAAACAGTTCTCTGACTCTGGAGCAGAAGCTTCGAGATCAGGCAGCTCCAGGGCGGCGCCAGCACTGGGGGATCTCTGACCCCCCTTCTTTATTATTTTTTAAGCTGTGTACTTGGAACTAATTATAGGCTCACGAGATGTTACAGAAAGCTCGCAGGGCTGGCCTCAGCCGGTGGTGTCGTCCAGCGTGGTGTCGGAGGCACCGTGCCGCAGACCTGCCTCCCTGGGCTGCCAGCCTCCACACGTGCCCCCTTGTCCATGAGGACGGAGGCAGCCGGCAGCGCCATGGGTGTGTGGACCCCCCCACCTGACCTGAGAGCCCCGCCTGGCCCATAGCAACCCAGGGAGGAGGAGGAGTCCTGGGAATGGTTTAGAGTCTTTCCCCAGCATTCCCTCTGTGCAACCAGTTTGTTTCCAGGTGAATCAAGTCTTGTAACTTGGTAAGGTTTCTCTTCTAAGAACACAAACCTTCCCCAAGAAGGAGCACAGTATCCTTCACCTGTTTGTTACAAAGTATCTTGGAACTCTGTTAATGATTAGAAGGAAAAAAGTTATTCAGAGTAACTAGAGTGAGCTCTTGACTCAGGGAGCAGTGTGCAGCATTCTGGCTCCTAAGGGGACAGGCAGCAGAGCCTCGGGCCAGTGCTGCTCCGGCCAGAGACACCCCTGGCCCGCCCTGGCACACAGTTACCTCAGAGGAGCTGAAACGGCTCTTGAAGATGCTGCAAGGTAGAGCTCCGTATTTCACTCTCTGGCATGGTTGATTACTGGCCCCAGTATCAAAACGCCGTGTGGACAGGCTCTGCCTGAGGTGAGGGCTGTGGCCTTTGGCGTTGCTCCCAGGCGTGACCTGAGGCTTGGGGCCTGCACGGGTGCACGGCAGGATGGAGAGCCTCGCGTGTGACACCTGCCTCCATGGGGCTCGTCTGTGCGTGACTAGCAGGGTTCCGCCTGCCGTGCTGGCTCCGGACTCCTCCAGGGCCCTCGGGGGAGGGTGCAGGGCTGGAAACAAGGCCAGCCCAGGGGGTGGGCGGTCCACAGAGGATGGACAACTGGAGGGGTGACCAGCTTGCCCCAGGATCGTCCCACTGAGAGAGCCCGAGACAGAGCCTGGTGCCAGCACTGACTGCCCCCGGCTGTGAGCTCACTGAGCCCCGGCCACCTCGGGTCCCTGGTGCCCACCAATTTCTGAGTTTGGCTATCCAGCTCCCCTCCATTCTGGCACTGTCTGCATGACTTAGCCACTGAACCATGCAAACAGCAACCTCTTTCCAATAAATTCTCTTTCTACCAACATTAGCTGAGGCATTTTGGCAAACAGGACCCTTGGGTGGCGTGGCGAGGTCGGACAGTCACCTTGGACGGGACACCAGAGGGCCCGCGCCCGTCATGGGCCGCAGCTCTGGGGGCAGACGGTAGCCTCCTGAGCACGGTTTGTCATTAATGGTCTTTAGATGCTGGGAAGGCTTACGTGTAAGAGAGGGATTAGATGTGACTCCACAGCACAGAATCTGGGCCGGGAGCTGGTCACGGGAGGCAGATTTCAGCTTGCAATACTGCAGGTTCCCAGCAGCCAGACCTGTGCGTCCCCGCCCTCTGCAGGCCCCACACCATTCCTGTGCCGCGCCCGCTGGACAGCGTTGTGCTCAGTCTCATTTAATACTTTCCTTGAGTCAACTCACTTTTTCTGGGTTAAATACGCTTGACGAGAACTGCCCGCAGGGTCGGGGACACAGAGCTCGAGAGGGGGCCACATCCCAAGTCCCCACGGCCGGGGGATGGAGAGCACAGCCCCCCAACCCTGACTTCCGCAGCTATGCTGCCGCTCCAAATACCAAAGCGGGCTGAAAATGCCCGCCACTTGGCAAACGAGCTAAACCTACCAGCACGAGGGCACCGGTTCGAAATGTCAGGTGATGACGACCTGCTTGTGAGCTGGCTTCCCAGACCCTCTCTCCTGGCAGTCTACCCCCGCTGCAGTCAGATGCTGGGCTGCGAGGAGGCCCTGGTCACAAGCCTTGCTCCGTTTCCTGTGTCCGGCTCATTTCCTTGACAGGCTCACCTTTTCACAATGTGAAAACTCCTGTCTCAACATTGAGAAGGCACAGACGTCTGATTTTTAAGGTGTGGTAATGTACGCGTAACATGGACCTTACTATCAGTGACATTTGGTACACGCGTGAGGTCAGCAGCCATCATTACATCACAGGACAAAGCAACACCCGTTAGCAGTCGCCTCCCCTGCCTCTGGCACCCACTCACCTACTTTCTGCCTCAGGACTGTCCTTTGGACATTGTGTATAAATGAAGCCGTTCAGTGTGTGACCTGTGTCTCCATGGTCTCACCGAGTGTGTTCACAGCTTTGTAATACTCCGTCACGTGGGCAGACCTGTGCTGCTTACCCACCGCCTGTAGACACACTGGGGTTTTTCTAACAGTGAAGCTCTGAGTGTCTGCGTGCTGGTGCTCTGGGTCTCCTGGGGGGACGCCCAGGAATGGTGCCTCTGGGCCAGACTGCCGCCCCACGTCTGATCATCTGAGGAGCCACCAGGCTGCCTCCATAGCAGCTGCCGCGATGCCCGGCCCCCAGCCGCACACGACTGTTTACCCAGGGTCCCCACCTCCTCCTCCACTGTTAAATTTTTTCACTTTATTACTAAAGCCGCTCTAGTGGGTGTATATACAGGTTTTTATTATATAAATAGAGAAAAGCCGTTAAAGGGAGAAAGTAAAAAGTTTATACAGGGAATCGGCGCTCTCTGTGGCCTCCTCCCGCTTCCCTGACCCACCCCACGGGAGTCCGTCCCACCGTCCTGTTTTTAACCTCCATCAGGGCCTCCCTCTCAGGTAGATGAGGATTTCACCCACTCAGGTCCTGTGATCCCCTGGGTCCTCTCAATGTGATCTGTGTCCATTAGGACCCTGGTTTGGCTGTTTAAAAAGGATCAAAATAACAAATACCTGGCCTTACACAAGACAGAAGTGTGGGACTTCCCTAGTGGTCCAGCGGTTTATCTCCACTGCAGGGGGCTCGGGTTCAATCCCTGGCAGGGGAACTGAGCTCCCACGTGCCAAGAGGCAGGGCCACAAACTAAAACAACAGCAGTGTGTTTCCTTCTCACACAATGAAGAGCTAGGGGCTTGGTGGTGGTGGTTTGCAGCTGTCAGAGGTTCACCTCTTCAGAAGGGTTTTCCACCGTGTTTTCCGAGCCAGCCTCCCCAGGTTCCCTTCCTGCCTACACCTAGTGCACTTGGCGAGGGGGTAGGAAGGAGGGAGGTGGTCCCCACCCTCGTCTCCAGCAACAATGAACTTCCTGTGCTGTGTGTCAGAAGCTATACATGTGCTCCTCGGGCCTTTACCACTCTGAGCCTCAGCCTCCTGAACACACTGTTCCCTTTCGTAGGGATGAATGCAGGCTCAGCAGGCAGGTCTCACCCAACGCCCAGGTGACACCGTGAGTAAGCGCAGCCCCTCCCTGGGGTCTGGCCCTCTCTCGGGGCAGGCAGGAGGCCTGTCAGAGGTGCCTCAGTTCATGGTTAATGTTTAACATGTGCTTTGCTATAGTCTCGCCTGGCTGGCCTGCCCGGGTCAGCAGGCAGGAGCCGTGGTGCCTGCTGCCTCTGAGACCACGGCCTCCCAGTTCAGAGCCCTTCTCCAGAGGAGCCGTGATGCTCTCTGTTGCCTGTCCTGGCTGATGGGCCACGGCCACGCCAGCTGCTGACCGCCTCTCCTTCTGTCGCCACCACAGTGGCCGGGAGGTGAACTCAGGGATGTGCACACGATGACGGACGGCAAGGACTTGGAGGCCGAGATCCACCCGCTGAAGAGTGAGAACAGGAAGGTGCCAGAGAACACGGGGGGCCCGGCAGGAAAGGAGCCCCGCGGGACGCCAGCCCCGCAGACCCGCCTCTCGCGCTGCCGCACTGCGGCCTTCTTCCTCTCTCTGTTCGCCTGCCTCCTTGTGGTGTTCGTGGTCTCCTTCATCATCCCGTGTCCAGACCGGCCGGCGTCGCAGGGGGTGTGGAGGATCGATTACAACGCGGCAGGTGTGGGCGGCTGGGGCACCAAGGGACCCCGGGTGTCCTGGAGTCTCGGAAACGGGAGTGCCCTCGGGATGGTGGATGGGGTCCGGAAAAGAAAGGGCCCATTTGGTTTCTTGAAAGATATTAGTACAAGAGAGCACCTGGCAGAATAGATGCAGAGAAGGCCATCCCAAAGGTGAGAACCAGGCTGCGGGTCTGCTACCGGCCTCCCGAGCTTCCCTCATAGCCTAGTTGGTAAAGAATCTGCCTGCAGTGCAGGAGACCCCGGTTCGATTCCTGGGTTGGGAAGCTCCGCTAGAGAAGGGATAGGCTACCCACTCCAGTATTCTTGGCTTCCCTGGTGGCTCAGCTGGTAAAAGTGCCTGCAGTGTGGGAGACCCCAGTTTGATCCCTGGGTTGGGAATATCCCCTGGAGAAGGGAAAGGCTACCCACTTCAGTATTCTGGCCTGGAGAATTCCATGGACTGTATTGGCTGTGAGGTCACAAAGAGTTTGGACATGACTGAGTGACTTTCGCTTTCACTTTCTGGTGGAATAAGGGAAATTTCTTCCATGAGCCCCATTTACAGTCGGTTCTGTTCAGAATTTGGTGCTTAATTTTCACAGTGAGGAGTAACATGTGCTTCTATGTTGGTTTTTGTCAGGTTTACTGAGATAATTCATGTATCATAATATCCACCTGTGTTGAGTGTGTGACTCAGTGACTTTTAGTCAGTTTAAGGCCTGAGCACCTGGGCAGCTGTCTTTGCATCCAGCATTGAGACCGTCCCCTCATTCCTACCTGGCTCCTCGCCATGGCCTGTCCCCACCACTATCTCCTGTCTGCATGCACTTGCCAGTCCTGGACATTTCACATGAATGAAATCCTGTAAGACGCATCTTTGCTTCTCTCACATGAGTTCATCCATGTGCTCACGTGTTCCTTTGTGTGGATGGAATGTTCATCCACTGACCAGCTAGTGACCATTTGCATCATTTCAGTTCCTGACTTTCATGAGTAACACTGCTGTGAACATTTGTGTACAAATCCTTGTGTGGACGTGTCCTGTTTTTCTTGGGAAGACCGGCAGGAACAGGGTTGTTGAACCGCACACTAAGTCTGGTTTGACTCCGGTTCCTCCCAGGCCTCATTTCATGTGCCCACCAGCCGACACTCGTCGTGGTCTTCGCCATGTGGCCTTCCTAGTGGGTGTGAAGTGGTATCTCATTGTGGTTCGCGTTTCCCTGGTGACTAGCAATGTTCACGTGAATTACTGGCTGGTCTTATACCTTCTGTGGTGAGCGTCTATTCATATTTTCCAGTCAAAAATATGACTGTCTTATTATTAACACAACATTGTTAATCAAATATACGTCAACCAAAAATTGTTAAGTTTTTTATATTAATATCTTCCAGGTACAAGTCTTCCATCACATATATGATGTGCGAATATGTGTGACTCATCTGGGACTTGTCTTTTCATTCTCTTTAGGGTGTCTACTGAAGCATGAGAGTTTTAAATTTTGAGGAGATCAAATGTATCAATTTTTTTAGTGTGGATTATGTTTTTGGTGTCTAAGAACTCTTTGCCTAAGTTAAGGCCATGAAGATTTTCTCCAGTTTTTCCCGTTATAGTTCTCTCTCTGCCATTGAGGTCTGTGATCCATTCTGAAGTTGCCCGCACCCCCACCCCACCTGCCCAGAGGGCACTCACATTTTCAGTCCCTCTGGCAGGGAGCTGCTGCTTTCTCAACTTACCCTGTGTGGTCCCCGGCTGACAGAGGGTGGGCAGCCCCGTGCTCCAGTTATGTGTCTTAAATCAGTGCTTCTCCAATAACGTGTGCCTTCAATGTGCTCCCAGGGTCCTGAAATGGAGCTCTTCACAATTCTGTCTCATTTTACTGTTATTTTTGGAGGAGACGGTTTGTTTGCCAAGCTCTTCACCACTTAATTCTGAAAGTCTTGTGTCTTCTATTCAATTTTATTTTTGTGGTAAAATGCATATCACCAAAAAAAATTGCCATTTTAGAGCAAACAACTGAGTGGCATTCGTTCAGAAGACCACGTGACCATCATCGCTTTTTTTCAAAACTTTTGTCACCTCGGAAGTTCTGTGGTCAATACAGGGCGGCTCTCCACCCGCCTTCCTGCCCAAGCCCTCCCGCCCTCTGTTCTGCTCCGTCTCTGGGGGGACCTGTGCTCAGACCCTCGCGTGACTGGAGCTGTCTTTGTGTGACTGGAGGTGTCTCTATGTGACTGGAGCTGTCTCTGTGTGACTGGAGCTGTCTCTGTGCGACTGGAGGTGTCTGTGTGACTGGAGCTGTCTGTGCGACTGGAGGTGTCTGTGTGGCTGGAGCTGTCTGTGTGACTGGAGCTGTCTCTGTGTGACTGGAGGTGTCTGTGTGGCTGGAGCTGTCTGTGTGACTGGAGGTGTCTCTGTGTGGCTGGAGCTGTCTGTGTGACTGGAGCTGTCTGTGTGGCTGGAGCTGTCTGTGTGACTGGAGGTGTCTGTGTGACTGGAGGTGTCTCTGTGCGACTGGAGCTGTCTCTGTGCGACTGGAGGTGTCTCTGCGACTGGAGGTGTCTCTGTGTGACTGGAGGTGTCTCTGTGTGACTGGAGGTGTCTCTGTGTGACTGGAGCTGTCTCTGTGTGACTGGAGGTGTCTTTGTGACTGGAGGTGTCTTTGTGTGACTGGCTGTCTCCACTCGAGGTTCATCCATGCTGCAGCCTGATGCAGAATTTCGCTCCTTTTTTATGGGTGAATAACAATCTGTCTTATGGACGGATCACATTTTATTTATTCTTCGGCCCATGGACACCTAGCTTATTTCCACGTTTTGGCTTTTGTAAATAATGCAGCTGTGAACGTTCCTGTACAAGTGACCACTTGAGTCCCTGCTTTCAGTTATGTTGGCTGTGCACCCAAAGAATGGAAGTGCCGGAGCCCAGGCTAATTCTGTGTTAACTTTCTGAGAAACTGCTNACGGATCACATTTTATTTATTCTTCGGCCCATGGACACCTAGCTTATTTCCACGTTTTGGCTTTTGTAAATAATGCAGCTGTGAACGTTCCTGTACAAGTGACCACTTGAGTCCCTGCTTTCAGTTATGTTGGCTGTGCACCCAAAGAATGGAAGTGCCGGAGCCCAGGCTAATTCTGTGTTAACTTTCTGAGAAACTGCTGGGCTGTTTTCCACAGCAGCTGCTGCAGTTTACATCCCCAGGAGCAAAGGACAAGGGCTGCGGGCCAGAAACTCTGGTTTTCTTTTATTTTAATAATCGCTGTCCTAACAAGTAGGAGATGGTGTCTCATCACGGTTTTGATCTGCGTTTCCCTTATTACTAGTGATGTTGAGTGTCTTTCTGTGAGTTTATGAACTATTTGTACATCTTCTTAGGAGAAACATCTTTTCCAGTCTTTTGCCTATTTTTGAATTCAGTTGTTTTTGTTGTACAGTCTGGATCCTCCTCATCAGATGCACAGTTTGCAGACGCTTCATCCTCTTTTGTGGCTCTTCTTTTCCCTCTCCCAACAGGGTCCCCTGATCAGGTCCAATTTACCTGTTCTTCCCTTTTGTTGCCTGTGCTGTTTCTTTTGTTGCTTTGCCCCATGTTTCTTTCTCTAAGAGTTTTATAGTTCTGGCTCTTCAGTTTAGGTCTTTGATCCATTTTGAGTAAATTTTTGTATCCGGGGTGAGGTAAGGGCCGCATTTCATTCTTTTAGATGTCTGACTTTAAAGCAGGTAGTTTGTCATCTGAGTCCTTGAATGGAGGGAGGGGTAGCCCCTGTGAGTGTGGACTCCAGATCCCAGGCTGGTTAGGGCGGGCCTCGGCCCTGAGTAGAAGGTTCTGCCCAGGTGTCCTTAGCACCTGATGCCCTCTCTGGGGTCGCCAGCCTGTGGAGGCGGCACTGCCCTGTTTCCCTCCGTGCGCGGCCGCACCCAGCTCCAGCCCCATGGCACAGAACAGGGAGCGCCAGGCCTGGCCTGGGAACGTGGCTGGTGTTTCCTTTCCAGTCGCCTATGACTTTCTGGCCACAGAAGATGTGAACAAGGACAAGATCCAGGATATTCTCTTTCTGTATAAAAACACCAACAGCAGCCACAGCAATTCCAGCCTCTCCTGTGCTGATGAAGGTACATTTTGTTTTTATCCCAAAGCTGAGTGCTCCCTGCAGGAGGAGGAGGAGGGGTCCCTGAAGGCGGAGGAGGAGGGGTTTGGGGGAGGCAGCTGGTGAAGTCCTAGACACGCCCACATCGCCCCCTCCCCGTCCGACCCCAGGGGCTCGGGGCCGAAGCCTGGGGTCACGCTGCAGCCAGCGGCTGCCCTCCCTCCAGGCTTTTCCTGTCCCTGCACCTTCGTGGCCGCTGTGTCCGGGGCCAACGGCAGCATCCTCTGGGAGAGGCCTGTGGCCCAGGACGGGGCCTTCGTGGAGTGTGGCGTCCTGCAGCCCAGGGGCAGCGCGGCGCCCTCTGCCTGCATTGTCCTTGGCAGGCCCGGCCCTCTCGTCGCTGTGGACACACTCACAGGTGGGCTGCTCCTTGCAGCGGGCCCCCTGGGCTCGAGGTCTCAGGGCTGCATGCTCCTCAGGGGCCAGCTCACCCTCCCGGGGGTGGTGAGTCTAGACAGGAGGGAAGGCACGGGCTTGGGGGCCATGAGGAGTCACACTCCATTGTGCTCCCCTCCAGTGCGGCTGCAGGCACCTGGGGCCGGGGGAGCCAGCTGCTGCCCACTCTCGGGACAGGTGCAGGTGCCAGGCCAGGTCCAGGGGGAGTAGGGTGTGCGCCGGTCCATCTCAAGCCCCGAGGCGCATACGCACCTTAAAGACAACAGGCCCAGGTCCCTTTCCAAGGCCCTGAGGAATCCTGCGCCTTGACGCTAGGGTAGTTCAAGGTGGCACTTGCTTTATAAGCTGTGGTTTTAAGGACAGGCAGGAAAACAAAGAGGAAATGTTCTAAGAACACGTCTAAATACGGACATGGGCAGGTTGTACCTGGGCCCCCACCAGCCTGCACCTTCATTCTTGCCCGGTGCGTGCACGTGTGTGACCCCCGAGAGCAGGGGTGAGCCAGGCCCTGCCCAGCTGGTGGGGGGGGGTCCACATCAGTCAACCTGCAAATACAGTGCGGGCAAAGGAGGGGCCTGCCGCCAGGACACTGTTGACCGTGCCTGTGGGCCACCCGGTGGCCACGCACACAGCACTCAGGTCCTGTGTTCTGTTTCAGGGAAGACCCTGTGGAGCCAGCCCAGCAGCTTCGGGGGAAATGCATCTGTCCTGAGCCCTCTGCTCCGCGTGCCCGACCTTGATGCCGATGGGGCCCCAGACCTGCTGGTCCTCGTCCAGGAGGGGAACCAGGTACCGCCCCATCCCAGCTGTGCGGCCTCCCCATCGGGCCTCGTACGGGCTCCTGAGACTGGCAGAGAGCGCTCCCTGCCAGAGCCGCAGGCACAGGCGCCCCGCGTGCCCCAGCCTTGTCGGCCCCGCCCCAGACGCCCTGCCGGCGGTCTGAGCCCTGTCTCCTCCACTCGTGCTGCACAGGTCAATGGCTACATCTACTCGGGTGGCACCGGGCAGCAGGTCAGCCCCCCGGACAGTCTGGGTGTGGACGGAACCAGTGGCTCCATCCTCCACGTCACCAGGGCGGGGGCCCACTACGTCCTTGTCCCCTGCGGTACGTGGCGCCTGCAGCCCCAGGACGGCCTCCTCCACGGGCCTGCTGGCGCCCGGGTGGAGGCGGGTGTGGGGCTGGCTGTGCCTCCAGGGATGCGCGGGTCTCGCCCGCTGAGAGGGGACCAGGCTTTTCTGTGTTCCCAGGCACTGCCCTCTGCAGCCGCTCCGTGAAGGGCCTGTATGAGAAGGTCGGCCGGAGGGACAGCTCACTCAAGAGCGACCCCCTCTGGGAGGACATGCTCAGCGCCACATCGCACAGGCTGCTTGTGCACAGGTGGGGGAGCGAGGAGCCGTGGGGCACAGGCCATGTGCCAGGGCTCTGGGGTCACCCTGGGCTCAAACTCAGAAACCTGGCTCATAGGAACGGAGTGAAAACTGGGAGGAGATGTGTCCCCTCGGGCTCGCTGGTCCCTGCATCCAGCGAGGGTCTCTTGTTATCCTGGAACTGGAGAAGCAAGAAACATGAGGCTGAGCCCTGGGAGCCCCACAGACGCACTGGGAGTTGGGGGAGAGAAGGTGGAGCATCCTGTCCCACCTCTGCCACCCTTGCAGCTCAGGGGCCATCCGCTACCTGATGAACGTGCCGGGGAAGGTGGGCGATGACCTGCTTCTCGTGAGTGCCGAGGCCTGCGTGCTGCTGGATGGGCAGGATCTGACGCCCAGGTGGACCTTCGGGACAACCCAGGTCCTGAGGTATGGGGTCCTTCTGCAGGGAGCCGGGCCCGCCAGCCTGTCCCCCTGCGGAGACCTGGGGACAATGCCACTGCCTGTCACCTGGTGTCACCCTGCTGGGAGGCTGAGACCCCCCTGGTGACAGCAGCCCCTCCTTGCTGCCATGCCCCCAGCCCAGGCACCTACTCACAGAGGCCCTGCATGAGCCCCCTCTCTGCTCTCCTTCCAGAAAACCCGTTCTTGGCCACTACAAACCCAACACCCCAGCCGTGCTTGTCGAGAACGGGACCGGCTCCGACAGACAGGTCAGCGGCACCTCCTCTGGCCTCAGCTCTACTCGCAGCTGGGAGTGGGACCAGGGCCCCGCAAGCCGCCCCCAGGGCTGCAACCTGTCCTCTGCCCCCCACAGGTACTGCTCCTGGACCTCGGCTCTGGGGCCATCCTGTGGAGCCAGGCCCTCCCGGGCCTCCCTGGGGACCCGCCGTCCGCCAGTCTTCCCACCGCAGACCACCGCTCCGCCTTTTTCTTCTGGGGTGTCCACAAGACGACTGGCTCCAACCAGACGGTAGAGTCTTGGGTCCTGGCTGACAGCGCGGGGCAGGCCCCGTGGTTGGGGGCGTGCAAGGAGACAGAATCCCCCTGGGGCGGGCAGAGATGAGCGGGGCAGGGAGGATGGGCATGGCTGGGCAGCAGCCGGAAGACCCCAGGAGGGTCAGGCGGGGAAGGGGGGCAGGAGGTGTGTGCAGAGCTGGTGCTGGCGTTTCCCAGGACCCAGGTGGACACAGCTCCGGGCGAGGCCTTGGTCGTGAGTGTTGGCCTCACCCTCCACCCCGCGCTCACACAGGAGCCCGGAGCCACTGGGCACCGCCTGTACATGCTCCACCCCACGCTGCCCGGTGTCCTGCTGGAGCTTGACAGCGTCTCTGCCCCCATCGTCGCCTTCCAGGGTGAGTGTGCCCCCCATGGGCCTGGGCCTGCCAGCTACAGGAGGCCCACGCCGGCCAGCCCCCCACCCTGACTGCTGTGTCCCTGCAGTGGTTCTGCTGGAGCTGGGCCGCCACGCTGCCTGCGTCCTCCTGACGGGCCCAGCCAGCCCCAACCCGCCCGGCCTGGTCTCCGTGACCAAACAAAAGGTGCAGGACCTCATCCTGGGCGGCAGGGTGGTCCGCCTGGCCGAGGGTGGCCCCGAGAGTGACCAGGCTGTCCGGGACCGGCTCTCCCGTCTGCGGTACCGGAGCGAGGCCTAGACAGGCCGACAGAGCCCACAGGGAGGAGGCTGCTGCAGTCACACGTCCCGGGACGTCGGTCAATCACTGACTCAGTTTATGTGCTAACTCCTGACCTGGCCACCCTCTGCACGGGTCCTGCCATCCCAGGGATACTCAGGTCCTCACTCAGCACCCCCGTCCGAGCCCCTCGGGGTTTCCCTGGGCAGGGCCCTAGCCGACAGCAGCTCACCCTTGCCCCTCCACGCCTGGCCGGAGACACAGCTGCCTAAGTCCCCTCCCCCTTCCGTCTGAGCCTCGCCTTCTCCACACTGTCTCCTGGGGTCACGGCTCCTCAGCGGGTGGTAGGCCACTGCAGATCCCAACGTGGTTGTGGTGAGTTACCTGGACAGCCTGTGACGGGGCCACGAGGAAGGGACCTGGGAGGAGGACGTGCTGTGTGGAGCTGAGTGCCCTGAGGACCTGGCCCGGCATCTACCTGGCTCCACGTGCTCCCTGGATACACACCAGGGCTCCTTGTCCCTCGAGGGTCCCTGCAGCCCTGACTGTGGCCAGCGGCCGGCCCCTCCTTCCTGGTGCTGGGACGTCCCCCACCCCAGCTGGTGTCACCTCTGTGCCTTGTTCGCCCCAGACTCCCTGGTGCTGTGGGGCCCCGCCGTGACCAGACAAGAGCACGCAGCCTGATGGCCCTGGGCACCTCAGGAAGAAATCAGAATAAACACTGGTTTTGCACCATCGGGAAAGCCCTATATGTGCCTGTGTCTCTGCTGAATCAGTGGGAAGGGCGTCTGGGGGGGGTGGGCGTCCAGCACCCAAACTGGCTGACCAGGTGTGGTGGGCGTCCAGCACAGCCTCCAAGTGCATCTCGGGTCTGCACCCTGCCCTGCTCTCCCAGAACAGGGCAGGAGCCTGGCCTGTCGACACACTTACCCCTCTGGGACAGGCAGGGGGTCCCCCAGCCACCCAGCAGGAGGAGCCCAAGCAGGAGCTTCAGTGAGAAGCAGGTCTGGGCACAAAGCGATGGGGCTGTTGTGGGGAATCCTACAGGGATTTACTAAAAGCACTTACACGACGAGCCTGCTTCCAGAACCACCTACTGGTGTCACCTCTGTGCCTTGTTCGCCCCAGACTCCCTGGTGCTGTGGGGCCCCGCCGTGACCAGACAAGAGCACGCAGCCTGATGGCCCTGGGCACCTCAGGAAGAAATCAGAATAAACACTGGTTTTGCACCATCGGGAAAGCCCTATATGTGCCTGTGTCTCTGCTGAATCAGTGGGAAGGGCGTCTGGGGGGGGTGGGCGTCCAGCACCCAAACTGGCTGACCAGGTGTGGTGGGCGTCCAGCACAGCCTCCAAGTGCTTCTCGGGTCTGCACCCCGCCCTGCTCTCCCAGAACAGGGCAGGAGCCTGGCCTGTCGACACACTTACCCCTCTGGGACAGGCAGGGGGTCCCCCAGCCACCCAGCAGGAGGAGCCCAAGCAGGAGCTTCAGTGAGAAGCAGGTCTGGGCACAAAGCGATGGGGCTGTTGTGGGGAATCCTACAGGGATTTACTAAAAGCACTTACACGACGAGCCTGCTTCCAGAACCACCTCTGCTGCTTCTTGCAAAAGCCTCGGACATGGCAACGAGGCTGGAGTTGAAGGGGTGCATGCCTTGTCCCTGTGAGAAGCCCAGAGCAGGGCCCACACCACAGAGAGAGGAGCCTGCCCTGGGCAGCAAGCAGCCTGCAGGCCTCAGGACAGTGTGCCGGCGGCCAGGAGTCAGGGCCCAGAGACAGCCTCCCCCGTGCACCGGCCCTGTGAGTGAAGCTGCCATGCCCGTGGCCACTGGGCTCCTGGGAGCTGTGGCCGGCATTGTGCTCCCCACAGGGGTGTCTTCAGACACAGCTGGCCCTGGAGACCTGGGCTCAGCGCCGCCCACCCCGCCCCAGAGAACTCGGACATCCGTGTGCCACCAGAGCACAAGGTTCTCACCAGGTCTCCCCCGAAGCCCAAACCCCAAGTCTGCAGCCTGAGATGTACCCAAGGCCTGTGGCCTCCGCATATGGGACGCTGAACCCACAGCCTCTGACACCCAAACCGTCCACTGCTCACTTCCTCCCTCACCAGCACTCGCCACCTCCACGCCACGTACACAGGCGCTACCACTGGGACCAGAGCAGCGCGGGCTCAGAGTGAGGGCCCGGAGGCCTTTATTTCTGTGCCAGAGGCAGGAGGCTGTGGGCCGCCCTGAGGGCGGTGGCACTGCCCCTCCAAGGAGCAGCTGGACCTTCACCCGAGTCTGGGGGGCCCTCCTGGTGGGGGCCCGGCTGTCTTTCCCCAAAAGCTCTGCCACCCTGGCCGTGAACCAGGCCGGCTGTCAAAGGAGCAGCGAAGCTGGAGAAGCTGGAGCCATCTCTGCAGATGGGGGAGAAGCCGTGGAGGTGGGGAGGCCGCGGCCCAGTGGGCGGGCAGGTCCCCCTGCAGGCTGGCGCCCCCTGCTGGTGACCACCTGACTGCGCCCAGAGTCTCTGGCCTGGTGGGCGCCAGTACAGGACCCCGGGAGCTACCATCTCCTCTCAGCGCAGGGCACCCCTGCCCTGGGAATCAGCCCCCCCAGGGAGGGTGTGACAAGGGAACAGGACGCTGCTGCAAGGCCAGGCACTCAGGGCCCGCAGGGACGCCTGCGCGGCGGGTCTCAGCAGCTGCCAGGGCCCCAAGAGAGAGCAGCTGATGAGGGCCAGATGGTGCCCCCTCCCCCAGGGCACCCTAGGTCTCCCCATCACCATCCCCACCCACGGGCTCCCCAGAGGCGGAGGCAGGAAGAAGAGCAGGGCTGGGGCTGGAGTGCCGGGGCTTCCGCATGAACGGGAACACCCTGTGGGAGAGAAGGGGCCTGAGCGATTGGCCGCCGGCCCCCACCCGCCGCCCCAGGCACCACCTGGCTCACCGCCGCTTGGTCTCCAGGGGCACCACAGCCTCCGCCAGCAGGTCTCTGTACAAGTCTGACTTCAAGAAGCGCGGGTAGGAGTCCTGTGAGAGACAGCACCCCGCCCTGAGCCCTTCCTGCTCCTGCTCAGCCAGCAGCCTCAGACAGGCCCCCCCAGACCAGCTCAGACTCAAGAAGACCATCCCCCATTGGGGCAGGAACCTCCGGCCACAGGGACCCGGTGTCCCTGGTTCTCTGGGACCTGCAGAGAGGGTGAGGGCGTGGGCCAGGATAACACAGGATTCAGCAAAAAGGGACAGGAACCTATGAACCCAGCTGCTTATGTTTTAAAAAGAAAAATAAATATTTACATTGTTAACTTCAGGTGTCAGAACAGGGATATAAACAAGATTCAGTGGAAGGTACTTTGCTTTGTAGGTTAGATTCTGAAGCAGTGCAGATGTTTCACATGATTATAAAATAAATAAGTGATTTAAACAAACATTGAAAGTGAAGCAGGGACAGGTGAAGCTGGGTGTCAAGTGGGTAACATCACCCTGACCACACATAAGCAAGCATCTGAGGAGCTACAGCCAAAGGACCAAGAAAAAAAAACAGTAAACACTTTCAGTGACTTTGAATGGTAGTGCTGTGATCCTCGGTTCAGCTACTGAAAGAATCTAGAGGAAAAGTTGAGTGATTATAATGGTACCACTGAGAACCCAGATTTTCAGAAGGGGTGTGAGGAGAGAGAGGTTAAGGGAATGCTATAATCGTGATTCTAAATTAGAAGCTTCAGTACGAACTCCTGGTGTTTTACTTAAAACACACCCTGATTCTGTCCACCGGAAGGCCTGGTAACCATGACTACCCCTGACGCTACAGACCAGTCTGGTTTGCAGGTCAAGGCTTTGGAACGCCACTACAGGGGAAAGGCTGAGGCCTCGGGGAACTGCTGGCTCCGGGGCAGGATGGCCCCGTAGAAAGGAAGGAAGCACCACAGGTTTCAGACACATCACAGGACTCGAGAGCAGCCAGCCGAGAGGGGGTTTCTGCACCACCTGTAAGATGAGGGGGCCAAAACCCATCCCATATGGTGAAAATGTGAATGGACAATGGCATCAAAAACATCCCGACACCATCAACTGCTCTCAGCAGATACCAGGGCTCCAACTGCCTATTCTGAAAAGTGGTAGAGGAGGAGCCAAGTCCATCTCTCCGTCCTGTCTCTCCTCTACGATCGGCACCGCTGGGCCAGCAACGCAGAGAGGAGGCAGTGTGTGACTGTGTGAGGCTGTGTGAGGCCAGGGTGGGGCTTCTCCACGAGAAGAGACAGCTGGCCCTGCACCCCTCCTGAGTGGAGAACATGCAGCCACCACCTGTGCAGCAGCAATAAAGACCCAGCACAGTGAAAAATACAAATAAATTTAAGATCCCATGTGCCACAACTGGAGATCCTACTTGCTGTAGCTAAGACCCGCTGCAGTCAAATAAATAAATAAAAATAAAAAATATTTTAAAAATACAAAAAAAGCAAATACCGTTGGTGTTTGGGGTGTGATGCTGGCCTCTGTGGCCACACTGAAAGAAAAGAGGTCGGCATGTCCTTGAAGGGAACTTCCTGCAACACCTACAGACAGGGAGTCTGGAAATGGCTTTCAAGTCTAGGGGGGCAGTAGGCGGGAGGGGTGGTGAGTCTGGACAGGCCTGGGCTGCAGTCTGACCCCAGCTCCCGAAGGGATGGGGACACCCACCTTCTTCATCAGCAGGTAGATGTGCCGCTGGGCGTCGTCCAGCACATGGCGGTGGGGCTGGCTCAGGCCCGCCAGCGTCTGCTCCATCGTCCGGCTGTCGATGTTGACCCAGCGGGCAGCGCCGGGGGCCAGGAACTGCCTGTGCGCAGGGCGGGGAGCCTGGCGGATCAGGCCCTCGGGACTGCCCACGGCCGCCACCCCAGCTCGCAGCACTCACTGGTACACTGCATCCACCAGGGCGGGGACCCGGGCCTGGCCTCCGTGGCGCAGCTCCTCACAGGCCTCCCAGAAGCTGAGGTTCTCAGCTGGGGGTCCAGGCACCAAGTCAGGCCCACCACAGGCTGCTGGGCACCTGGGGTCGGGGCGGGGCGGTGGGGTCGGGCAGGCAGCAGGGTGGGGGCTTCTCACCACTGAACTCTTTCCCGAGAAAGTCCATGAAGTGGGCCCGTCCCACGGGGTCTTCCAGGAGCTCCCGGAAGCTGAAGGCCCACTGCTCCACGCGGAGCCTGGTGGGCACGGCCGCGCTGGTGGAGGGCAGGTAGATCAATCTGGGAGGACTGTGAGGAGCTGTGCCACAGAGGCCAGGCCCGGGTCCCCGCCCTGGGTGGGCACATCTGCACCCCTGGCCCACCTGCTCACCTGGGTGCATTCATGGCCCAGTAGGCATCATCGTCTGTGACCCAGGGGTTGCTGGGCAGGCACCCCGACATGATGGGGTCGTGCGGCCCATGCTGGCTGCTAAACTTCAGGTACCTGGGGGTGGGGCGGTGCCAGGGCCGCTGCAAGGGGGCTGTGGGGACCAGGGCGCAGGGGAAGGGTCTGGGCTTGGGGTGCCAGCCGCCACCCCCATCCCACTCACGCCTCGAGGCAGGTGGAGGACTTCACGCGGGCTCGGCCCAGTGCCCTGCGCAAGCACTCGACCTAGGACAGGAGGCCTGTGAGGGGGGCTGGGCCTGGAAGCTGCCAGCCCCCTGCCCTCTCCTCCCCCCACCTACCTCCCGCCTGTAGAAATCCACGGTCTTGGTCTGCAAGGGGCCGGTGGGCTGCAGTTAGAAGGCAGGCCCCTCTGGGGCCTGATGTCCCACCC